TCTATCTATCTATCTATCTATCTATCTATCTATCTATCTATCTATCTATCTCTGACAGCAAATGAATTACACTTTTACATCATGTTAATCTGACGTAAATAGTATTAAAAAGAAATGGTACATTTAATATTAAAGACATGGAAAATCTTGCAGATTTCAGCAACAGATATGGAAACTATGTTAATTCTGGTTTCAGTCACTCTAGTAGTTACTGACACTTCATTGTTGTAAGCTTATATGGCTAAACCCCCTCAGGCAAACGAGGAAAACACCCACACAGTGATCTTTCGGTTTGCTAACAGGGAAACTTGAACAAAGCCCGTGAAGCAGCCAACACGTAAATTCTTTAAAACGAATTGTGCTGCCCTTCCCTCACAGTACACGACTTCATGAATCAGCCGAAGAGGCTGCATTTACTTTTTCAAGTGATGAGGCCAAACTGTGCTGGCAGTATTTAGTTTTCAGACGAGGACACAAAAGTAAAGGAAGATTGCTTCATTTAAATGTGGAAATAGAAATCTGTCAGCAGTCAGGCATTTCAAAGATTCACAAATCATTCCTTAATGAGTTCATGTCTCATTAAGAAAAAGTCAAATTCACAAACAGAAATAAAAACTGTTTATTGTTTGGCTGTGGTCTGGAGCTCTCGCGCTTTTTGTCACAGCAGCTTTCTTCATAACCGGACTGAGCAGCTGACAAACTACCAGCAAACAGCCAGCCATATTTGTCTTTCACAAACCCGTGGCCAGATTTTCTAAGCTGTTCTAACAGAAGCAGTTTTGCTATCAACAGCCTCATTCTCTGACATAAACACACACCCCCTGTGCATGCTAACGGTGCCCCTACCTGATTGAAAAGGGGTCTGTAATTTTCACAGTTGTGGACAAATCTTTGCTCTCTCTTTGCTCTCTGTTAGCTGTTGGAGCTTAATTCACTCCTGTGAAAAGCATCGCTTTGACATCCATTATTCTCTCGCTTTTGATGGTTAGCTCCACACTGTTTTTTTCAGCTAATAACCCCCTGCTGAGTTTTTATTACAAGCATGCAACCATCAAGAGGTAATAAGAAAATGAAATGTTGTCAACATGTCAGGAATAAAATTTCAAATAAGATAATACTGGCACGAAAGTGAAAGCCGTGGTTAGTATCTGTCAAAACAAAACATCACACAAAAGTATTACAGCTGTCAAAAAGGCCTTTCATTTATTTCATCCATGGCAGATTTTATAAAGTATATTGTCTTTATACTTATGACAGCCATGGAAGTGGTTATTTAAATTAGTCTGGTGACAATGTTGAACAGGGCAGCTCATCAAAATTCCCATGTTTGTTGTTTATACCCTTGACAACGAGTTTTAACAAAAGAAGCAGGAACTATTGATTTATATCTAACTGAATATTTTTGTATCGATAAAAAAGATTGGTTAGGGTAGCAATGTAGGATTTTGGGAGGATGGCAAGGACTTGAAGCAAAGGACAAGGACTGAATAGCAAAAAGCAACTACAGGCATTTCTCCTGACAATTTCCTCCTGCAACAACAGAAACAGACCTGATGCATCTATGTAGAAATCAAGTAAGTGAGTACATTAGGAGCTCAGTCATAAGGAAAAAGCCAGTGACAAGGCTGTCAGTAGAAAATCTCTAATGACAACATTTGCATCATGTGCACTCCACTGCAGCCGTGGGCTACAAAGAAGAAAGGCCGGATCACTGTTTCCACATCAGCATGCATAACCTGATTGAAACTTAGTGGATGCACACATGTTTCTTTTTAGATTACAGTTTGGGTAAACGGTTCCAAATCTTTATACGCATATACATAAACAGATAGATAATTATTTAAATCTTTCAAAGATAAACAGTAGTGTGGTGGATAAAACTCAGCCGCTCATGAAAACAGGCATCCAAGTCATTCCTCATTCCTCCCTTTAAATCATT